TGTTTACCCTTTTTTTTTCGTTTCGTTTTCTACATTTCATATTCCTTAATTTTCATTTTAGCACCTTGACTTGCTGGCAGACGACACGAAAGTATTGACGTGAAAATGTGTGTGAAAATGGATGAATATTTGACAAGACAACTTTAGAATGATTAGCGTGAAAATAATGATTTACTTACTATCCATGATGATGATGAGGACTTGAAATCAGCAAAGAAAAGGACGTGGCAAAGCGATCGTAATACATAGAGAAGTATTCTTTCAAACATCGCTACTGCTTTTCTAGTATTGATACTTCCGACTATATCCTCAAGGTAGCACTTTATACGAAGTCTCAGAATGTAAAATTACCTTTGTTAGTGTTGATCGTTATTTATAAGAACTTTAATGTGAAAGTAAAGAAAAATGTATAATATATCAATCACATCATATCTGATATATCTAGAGCCGACGAGATCCATATTGCTCAATACCAAGGCACTTCAGACCAACTGAAATACGGAAGACACAGTAGTGGTTGAGACTCTATTTATAATAGCAATCTGTAACGGCGTGGATTGGATTAAACTGGAGAACTTAATTCGGGATAAGAGAGAGTTTAGCTTATTGACTTGTTAACTGATTGTTGTTACATAATATGAAAAATAAATCATTTCTCTCATCATGAAAACAACGTTTTGTTCTGTTTAATCGAATTAGCAGAAATTTAAGGAATAGGTAGTTTATATCTCCATAACTGTTAAAAAAACCGCGAATTTCGGACAGGTCCCAAATCCCGCCTAATATGTTCTCACCCCCTCCGCGGCTATAAACACTATAGATTAACCGTTGCTACACGATACACGACAACGGTGAAAAAAAGGTAACGCTTATAAAAAGCGATAAATTAATGTATGTGACAAAAAAATAGATACAGACTTTACGAAATTCATGTGACAAGGTGACGATGTAGACCTTAAGTAGTATTGTCTTTGTTCTGTAAAAAGCTGGCCTTGTAAACGACATTCATTTTTTTTTACTGTTAAGCTGATCGATCCTAGATGTAGAACAAGAAATTTAGAAAGCCAGTAAAACGTGTATGCTCCGATTTTTAAATACTCTTTTTTTTTTGTATTGGTTTTGAACGACCACGCTTCAGATGTTAATGATAATACTACATTGAAAGATGCTTGACTTAACTTAATTTTCGCTTATCACTTCGGTAAAAGAAATGATTAATGCTAAGAGCAGGCTTTAGGAATCGGATCCATAGATCTTCAATGTTTCACAATCCTTAGACGTTGATTGTTTGTCGAATTTCGCGCAAGGCTACTCAAAGGCTATCTATGTTACCCGTTCCTAATTTTGGAGCAATAGACTAGATGGAAGGCAGCTAGTCAACATCACCCAGCACCAACTAAAGACCGAATAGTGGGATCTGGCCGTCACTCCTATAACGCACTCATGGCCCCAAAGTGTAGAGCGCGATTTTTTTTTGCTTGGTGGTAACGGTGTACGAAACACGGAAACTCGATCCATAATCCGTTACAATAACAAGGGGACCATATTTTGTCCTTCTTAGCACTGCTGATTATATTAAACTAGTAGGTTTAAACAAGTTGACCACAAATTAGTGTGATTTTCTTCACTTATGACTTAATATGTTCAAGCTGATGGTGTTACTGGTTGTTTTTTGTTGTTAAGCACAAAACTGCACAATTATCTATCTGTATTGTGCTCACCATGGGTATCGAAACCCAATTTTTAACGTCATTAGTCCAGAAATTTACCGCTGAGCCACTGAGAAGGAGGGGGTACTGTATATTCGATATTAGCTATAAATTTACTTGGTTATATATATATTTTTAACAAGCAAATTATTATAAACTTATATTAGTTCATAACATATTTAAAATTGTGTTTCTGTTTGGATTTTCAAACATCAGTTTCACAGTCATAAGAAATCAGTCCTTTTATTCCAGATTTAATAGCTGTCGATAAATGAACTAATTCTATATTAAAACGTTATTATAAGTTTACACTTATTGATATATGTTTCAGTTTTTGCATTACCTGTGAAGATAAAATGATATATTTGATTGTTTTAGAGCAAAGCCATACTGGACTATCTGATGTATTCACGTGGGGAATCGAACCCTGAATTTTAATGTGTTGTAAACTTACCGCTGTACTACTAGGAAGGGATAAAATGGTTTTGAATACCTGGTAATTTGATTGAAAAACTCTAATTTCTCTATCTTTTTTTTTTTCTACTTTTGATGAAAATGTTAAGCTTTCAAGAAATACAATTCAAAAGTGAATCCATCAGTGTTTTAGTTATGTTCTTTCAAAATTATTTGTATGGAATGAGTAATTAAAAATAACGATAAAGATGTAATTTTTTCAAC